CCAGCCTCTGCTCTGAACTCCGCAAAGCCACTCCGCCCTCCCGAGGCCCTGCCTGCTTGGGGAGGGAGAGGACGCCGCTCTGATCCCTCCCGCACGGGATGGCTGTCACAGGGTAGCTCCCGGGCCTCACCGCTTCCTGCCATTGTCGAGCGAGTGCCAGCCCGGTGGTGCAGGTGGGGATCTCTGCCCGCGCCCTTCCTCTTGAGGCGCTCCTGGCCCGAACATCTACTACTCTGCCGAACTGCGCCCTCTACAGACGCGGCACATGTTCTCCTTCCGCTTCTCATCACATCTGTTAAAAGTCGCTTCCTCTAAACAGTTTACCACGCCAATAGTACTTAAACGGTTTCCAAGTAGGAGCAGGATTAAAAGTGCAATCAGCAATTCAAACTGACCCAGTGCACCCCTGCAGCTGCAAAACGACCCCTTTGAAAAGCACTCCAAGAAAAGTAGGTCGAACAAACAGCGCTACTGCAATTCCTGGAACTGCTTAACATTTTCTCCCAAAGACACAATTAAAAACAGCGGATTGATAATGTTAAAAGCACTTCACTTCACTTTTGCAAGTAAATGGGGTGATTGTCAAAACGATTTAACAGATGGAATTTCGGTTCCGTGGAAAGCTAGCAGGACAAACTCCTCCCCGAATGAGGCTTAAATTGTGAATAAGGAAGCATGGAACTGGCAGGAAAGCAAACAGAGCCAAGGAAAAGAGCAGGGAGCCCAGAGATAAAATTGGAAAGCTAGCAGGACAAACTCCTCCCCAATGAGGCTTAAATTGTGAATAATGAAGCATGGAACTGGCAGGAAAGCAAACAGAGCCAAGGAAAAGAGCAGGGAGCCCAGAGATAAATCCACGTGTTTACCACCAACTGATTTCAACCAAGTGTCAAAAACACAAAAAGGAGATAAATAATTTTTTTCAATAAATATGCTGGGAAACTGGACATTCAACGTGAGGAAGAAAGGCTGGACCCTGGTCTCGCATCACACGCACAATCAGCTAGAATGGATTAATGCTCGGATCGGAGACAGAACTAGGAAACCACTAGGAGAAAGCAGAGGAAAAGCTCTGTGACGTTGGTTTGGCCAATGATCTTCTTTATATGAACTTCAAAGAATGGGCAACGAAAGCAAAAATAGACAAATAAGATCCCCTTAAACTAGAGATCTGTCCAGGGAAGGACGCGAGTGAAGACACAGGAAGGAAAAGGACTGCAAATGTACATCTGATAAGGGAGAGAACACAGAAGGAGACTGGGAGGCACCCAGAGACAGTCTGAGGGGGGCGCCACGTAGGAAAGTCCGGAGAGAGGGGACTGCATTTACAGGAAGCTCAGGGTGCCCGGAAGACCAGGAAGTTGATTCTTAGGTTCAGGCTATTTACCAGCAAAACAGATTCAGCTTCCTTAGTATGATGGGGAATACACAAGAGAAAAATTTATACCAGAAACTCTGGCTTAATACACAGCTCCCCTTATTTCTTCTCCAAACCCATCTTCAAAGAAATGGGAGTGTACTTAAGAGAAACCAAGCAATTTCTGAGAAGAGGAAGAGTGTCTGGTCACCTGGAGTTTTGGCTAAGCATGCGGGGTCTTTAAGGATCAAGAGAAACTGTGATTTGTTTTCTTCAAATGGTACACCTGGGAAATCCACAAGCATTAAGCAGCTTTTTCCTCCTTTCTCAAACTTATGTGGCCTTACTAAACAGACAGGACACCCTTCTTCCTGGACCCAGAGCTCCCCATCCTACACTGGTAAAAGTCAAGAGGAAGAAATTTTGAGATATCTTAACATACCTCCTTCTATGGTTTTCTGTTAGTTTGTCGATTTTCCGGCTTTTGTTTTTTTGTTTTTTGTTCCCTGAGCAAGGTTTCAAAACAACAGATTCAGTAGAGTTAACCAGCTTAAAATCAAAGATAGATTTCTTAATAAACTACCCCTTTCCAATTATGACATGTTGGCCAACAGTAAGTGTGTAAATGCCCTCAAAGCCTCATGTGGGGTTGCAGGTGGGGCTTTTCAGAGGCTTTTCTTGATCTAGAGCACATGATGCTGGGATTGAGGGTGTGTGTTTACTAAATTAGTCCATTGATGGGTTTGGCATAGTTCTGGGTAGGATGCAGGGTACCCCACCCCGGGTGTGAGTGCTACCTGCCTTTAGGAGAATATAAGGGACAGAAAGAAGGTCACTGCTTGTCACCTGCTGCTTGCTGCTTTTGCTGTCTTCTGCCTGCCATGGACTGTTTCTCCTCTGCGATGCCCTCCCATCCCACTCTGCCTTGGAGCCAGCCAACTATGAACTGAAACCTCTACAAACTCTGAGCCCAATAAGCCTTTCCTCCTTTAACTCTGCGTGTCAGGTATCTTGTCTCAGTAATGAGAAAAGTCATGACAGGAATCAAGCTGCAGTTTAATTGGAGAAGTATCATTTTGAAAGCATGAACAAAACTATCTTTGAAAGTTATTATTTCAACCCTTATCTAAAAATGCCAGTATATGAAACATCTCCAAATTATTAGAAATGATCAGTGTGGTGACTGATCAACATAGTGAAGCAAATACCTATATCAATTTAAACATTTCATTTCTACTTTATCTGTTTTCAACTCTAAACCTCTGACATTCATTGCTATGTTAGAAGTTCAGATAAATATAATAAACAATTTCTACTTCTGATTCGTTCATTCAAATCAAATGCATACCCACAATACCGATTATCTATTACATTGTGCTATCACATATGTGTCAATTTCTTCTCCCTGAAGCCCAAGGCATTGTTTTTCTTCTTCTCTGTCTCTGTCTGTATGGACCAGTAGCTGGCAATCTACAGTTCTTAAGCGAAATCTTGACCACAGCTTTTGTGTTTTAAGAGTTTCTTGAGGACACAGCGATGTCCATGTGCTTTCTTAAGTCTACAGCTGCTTGGTGCTGAGCCTGCAGAATTGAGCAATAGTGACAGAAGTCAGGGCCACCAAAGGTCCTATCCTGTACTCCCCTGTTCTTCCTACAATGTCTGGTCAGTTATAGAGCAAAGGTGTTGGCACTGGCCCATTTCGACTATCATCTAAGTATGAGCGGGGGGCTTTGTCAAACCAGGGTTTTATAAGTACGGTAAGACTCAGTTTACCTGTGTGTCACTTAAAATAAAATACATACCCCCATATTTATTTATCTGTATTATTTACTGAAGCTGAGAGGCAAGGGAAATGAATGATGCCTGGAATGAAGGAGAGCTAATTCCCTTCAACTGCCACATTCTTACCAGTTCTCTGTGTTAACGTGCCTGTGTCTCAGGATATAGAAAACACAGAAGGGAAGGGACGTGCAGCAGCAGAGAGAGTGGGGGAGTTTAGTTTGGTCCTTTCTGTCCCTGGTTCTCTCCAGAGCCAGATGGGCTTTCCCTGACAGAGCGCTTCGTTCACTTTCTGCTCTCAATCATGCTGGAGTGTGAACTGCACTCCAATGTCGTGCTAGGTGTTTCACTGAGCAAAGGACAAGCAGGTGGCCAAGCCCAGCCTCCTCGCTACTGCCCAGCAACAGCTCAGGGGGCCTTGCTATGGGGCGGGTGGGCTGGGACCATTCGTCAGGGCGTCCAGGTTGGGAGGGAGTCAAGGGGTGGCCTCTCAGGTCTCTTGTGTCTGAGGATCTGTGCATTTTTGTTATTTAGCATCAGGTCATTCTATAAACTGAAGAAATACATGCTTTATGCGTAACTGTAAAAACTCATTCATTCTTAAACTGCGCTGTTATAAACTGTGATTAGTGAATGCCAAACTTTGATGAGAAACACCAATCTTGGTCCAGTTAGCGTCCATGAAGACTGCTAAAATGGATTATCTGGGCCAACATCTACTCAGCTCACATGGGAATAGGACCCATTATCCATGCAGCAGAGTAGCCCTCTGCTCTATGCATGTAGTGTTTTACATATTGCTTGCGGCATGTGTGTGGCCCAAAGGCTCTTACAAATGCAGACTGTGACCATTTCTCAGAAAATGAGCTGTAGGGCTGGAAAATGGGGATCCTGGATTCCTAGATGCCCATTCTGCAGCACCATGGTTAGGGCGGCGTCAGCCCTGTCAGGAATGTTTGTTTTACGGAAGCAGTGGTGCTTATATAAATATGGAGGGAAGGACAGCTTAGTCTAATACTTGGGACAAGAGAGGACAGTGGCTCAGAATGTCTGCAAGACTAATGAGCTGTGTCCTCAGGTATTAACAAGGGATTGCTGTCAGACTTCTCTGCGAAGTCAGCATGGGGCAGAGAGGTGCATTCTCAAGGTCCCAGGCACTGCTGAGCAGGGAAGGGCCTGGGAGGCAGTGGCCTTGAATTCCCAAATCCTGAACCCTTTCCAGAGGGTGAGGAAGGTGGGCAGTGTCAGACATGCTCAGTAAAACGCAATCATTTTTAATTCATTTCCTTTCAATGAAGGTGAATGCTGTTTCTTTAGATTTTATTTTTGCAGGGTAAGAAAAAATACCTTTAATATTATCACAGAGAAATAATCACAATGATACCTCAGTTCACAAATGCTTCTGTCTGCAAAAGTATTCAGCAAAATTTTGCTTCTGTTTGCATACTCCGCAATGAAGGACAAACAAGTCTACAGATGCCTTCCCCACACAAACACAAATGCAGCCATCTCCCCAGAGTCCCAAAACAACCTACTGTCAGTTCATAAACTGAGGTTTCACTGTTCTGTGGACATTTTTTTTGGCTTATGGATCTTTCTTTTAGCTCCCTTTCAATATGATCTTAATGATATTTATACAACTTTGATAGATAGTAAGTGCCAACAACTTTTATTTTATAAACATTTAAGACTGCTGAGTAATCATTTATCTTATGTTACTACTGTGCAGTCGTTTCCAGGTTGGAGGGTAATTTTTGGTTCCATTTGTGTTAGTATAATTTTTAACAATCTTTTTTCTTTTTAGATAGGTCTTTCCATGCGGCCTAGGGAGATACACAGCCCGGCAAGTGTCCCCAGTACTTACGTCATGGCTTGATAAATGGACTCGATCCCGTACCGCATGGCAAACTCATCGACTATTTCTTGGGGAGCATCATCAAAGAAGACTTTCCAGGCTTCATCTCCTTTGACTTCTGGGATTTTCACGCCACCATTGGATTTCACTTCCGTCAAGTAGTGGAAGAGATTCTAGAAGCAAGTGGTTTTCAGTGTTCAGGGATTGCTCAGAGTAAGCGTGACACAGTTAACTCTAATTTAAGGGAACATGCCTGTGGGACCACCACTGCTAATGTTTCATCAGCGCCTAAAGCAAGAGGAATAGCTTGGATCCTTTAGTTCAATTCCTTTCATTTGTTATGCAAAGGCTGCTTTTACTTCTGTCTAGGGTAATACAGGGTTAGCAATTCAAATGTTTTATACAGACCCAACCACTTCAGAAGGGAAAAAAATGTCTACATATAAACATTTTCATGGACTCTGAATAAATTACAGTGGCCTGGACAAACAATGTAATGTTGGCTACATTCCTATGGGATTTCATTTTGTAAATGATACTAATGGGCTTTAGCTGCAGAATAGTAAGAGTTAGGGCAATGAAATGAGGTTGAAAATAAATGTTTGAGATTTTTATAGTGAATAATATCAGCACCCTACGACCTTTCTTGCTTCTAACAAGTTTGAGAACTGCTGTGTGGGTACAACCTGGATCAGCCAAAGAAACTTTCCTTGGATTTCCGCTCTTTCTGGTTCTTGAACCAACAGAAAAGACTGAAAAGTAGAGCATTATGTGGTTCTTTGGATGCCCAGTCTTTGTGCAAACACAGCTGGGGCAGCAGACCAGTCTAAGGGACTTATTTCTTCTTGGTGGCTGAAAACTGAACCATTTTTCCTGAAGGAACACTGTCCTGACCCAACTCTGGTCCTGCAAATCAGCTGAGTTCCTGCCCCTCCTGCTCTGTGACACGGCAGACATGGCCTCATTTCCTCTGTAGTACAGTGGGGTGAGAATATTCATCTGTGTCAAATATGTACAGGTCTGTTTTATAAATGCAGATGTATTTGAGAAACACATGCAAACAAGCACAGCTCTCTCCCTGATGCCTTCTCCTCCCCCGGTAGAGGTCCTTCTCCACCTTTCCCTGGACACAGGGAAAAGGTCCTCGCTCAGCCTCACCCGGCCTTTCCTGTCCAGGGGAGGTGTCATCTGCATGAGAGAAAGCCTTCAGGGATGCCTCTAAGTGACCTCCAGCTGCAGAGCACCCACAGAAGCCTGTGGTCACGGGTCTGGGTGGCTGCATGGAGGCCCTGCAGGGAAACAGTGAGTTGGGCCTCTGTGGACAGGTCCAAACTCTCCCAGGAAGGGCTCTTCCGCATTGAGACACTGGGTCTGTGCTACCTTGGGCACCACATGCAACCACCAGGGACAGCGTCACAGTCTGGGGTGGGGCTTTCCCAACCCAATGCTGTGTTTCATGATCCAAGATCCATATCATTTCTATCCAGGTTTCATTTTTAATAAAATTCAATGTATCTACCTCATGCAAACATGTATATTGTATGTGGTATGGAGCCACCTTCTCCTCTCCTTTTATTTCCACATTGATTTTCAAGCGGATGGCCCCGGAAACAGCTGACTTATCTGTTCGTTTCTCTGAAAAGGCAGAAGAGTTATTGGCCAGTCATTTCAGCAAGACCACAGCTCTCAATTAAGTTCCCAAACCCTACAAAAGCTGCATGTGCTAAAACCCGCTTTTCCTAGGCCAGATTTGATGACCCACAGTGACTCCCTGACACAAAACCTACAATCTTTGCTTGTTTTTTCTTGTAACTGACAATGCCTTGTAGGAATTTCAAACAGAAAGTTTATCAGAAGAGCCTGCCATTATGATGGAAATTTTGCTGTACTCGATCAGCTTACCCAATCAAATCACATAAATAATTTGGCAATTAAAGGCAAGATAAGTAGAGTATAAAATTAACCAGAAAAGTATTTCATTTACAAGCTCTCACTCCTCACTTTTTTCTTCCCGGGCTTGTAAGAGGAGGCAAACGTCCTGGTTAACAAGGAGAAATCAGTCACTGTGATTTGTAGGAACTGCACTCTGAAACCCGTGCTGATTTAGACACGGTGGATTAATTGCTTCCTGGAATGGAATTGATGTGTCACACTTCAGCCAAATAACGCGTGCATAGTGTGTCCAGATGCACTGAAGGGAAGACCCTGCCACAAAACTCGTCGGTGTGAGCGGAGGTGGACCCTTCACCGACGGGAGGTACCAATGTGCCAGATCCAAGCTGGCCCATTCACAGGGAGCAGCAACACAGCGTAGAGGACAGGCTTAGTGCTGGGGACCTCTGTGACCGGTCCTTTGTCAACACAGCTGTACTTTTAGCCACAAGGGGCAGAGTGAAATCAGGAAGGCCATGTCCCTGGGTGGACGGAGGGTGACTGCCCATCCCTGCTGTGTCACCGTGCTGTGTGAGGGGTCTGCCCCCAGCAGGGCTGGCTCACAGAGGTCCGTTCTCCTAGGCGAGACAAAGCTGATGCTCAGCAAAGACTGCAGCTCGCTGTGGGGCTGAGAGAGCAGCAGGCCGGGTCTGCCTGTCCTCTCCTCAGGGCTTTCTCTCTGGTCTCTCTGAGTTTTAATTATCATCGTCCCAACAGACCCACAGGAGCCGACTCTGCCTTACGACCCAGGGATTCGGATTGAGCCCTACGTGGTGGATAGGACGGATCCTAGGGGCTGGGGAAGGAGGCAGGAGGTGGGAGGAAGGGACAGCACGGTACTCACAAGGGCTGGTGACCTGAGAGCGGGCGGGAAGCGGAGAAGCTAGAAAGCGCTTCCATCTCGCTTGCCCGCATTGCACACTCCCCTCCTGCTCTCCCTGAGGCTAAACAAGGGCACGGAAGTTCTACCTGTGGGGTCTTGGCAAAGAATCATGATGCTGCGCTGCATCTTTCTTCCTCTGATACAGGGCAGTTTCAACATGAAATCAGGAGGGGAGCTGCCTCCTGAAGCACATTCCAGTTCCACGGCAAACTAAAAGTGCTCACGTACTTCATGTTTCCGTTCTGACCCGCAACTTCACTGCCTCCGCCTAAGGACTGCTAACGTATTACAGGGGGAAAGTCCACATGCAGGTAAACCTCTTTAAAGCGTAATTTGTGAATACTGCAGGGTCAATGGCCCAAGTTAACTAACATTTCTGTTTTCAGATATAAAGCAATTTAATAATTTAACAAGAGGTGGGTGGCTGCTCATTATAACAGGTTAAAAATTCCACCTCAGTCATGTAAAAGTAACAATTTTCCTGAAAGAAGTTTTCTTAACATATTTTTGGGAATGAATTCTTAGTCTTGCTTGAATCGCTCTTTCCTTATACTATTTATGATGTAGAGTTGCATCACTTCTATGTGACCTTCTTGTTTTATGGAGCTGACTCTTACATACCAGAAGGCTGTAGGTTTTAAATACCAAAGGCTTGTTTAACTTGTGAGAGTATTCTGGTACCCTAACTGGCAGCTCTTGGTAACTCTATGCCCGTGTCAACTCTCCTTTGATTTCTGACCAGCCAGCTTTCAAGACCTTAATTAAAGGATTTCAGAGGATATGATAAAGAAGTGCTTGGATCGTGTCTAGAGAAACCGAGGAAACCCATTTACTCTTAATAAGCCAGCAGTAAGGGCAGGAGGTTATTATGTAATCCCAAACAGTCAAGTTGGAGCTTCTCTTCATTGAAGCACTGTCTCCATAACAACATTTCATTTGAAAATCATGCCAAACAGATCCTCGGCATCTCCTTCACCAGTCGCCGCTAAGGCCACCTGCACTCTTGGCCACATCGGCTTAAGCCTGCTTCTATACCATCGTGGGAAAGCCTCTAAAATACACAGTTTGCTCCAAAATTCCATTAATGGAGCAGAACAAATAAGTCAAATAGTGTTAAGGGACAGCTTGAATCTTGATTTTGGAGCCATTTGCCATGAACTAAAAATTGACAATGATAAAATGCTTTTGTCTGAAAAGATGCTCAGCTGATTCTTTGAAAGGCTTTTCTCTTTCTATCTAAAACTTCCAAATGTTTTTCAATAGTGGCAAATTTAAATAAAAACTCACACTTGGTGGAAGTAACCCACGGAAAAGTCCAACAGATCTACAGTGGCACAGGTTCTCGTGGCCCCTATTATGCAGGGCCACAGCTGCTCTTGGATTTGGCCCGACTCGCTGTCAGACAAGCATGGATAATCACCTAGGTTGTACCAGACGTCCATCTCTCCGCTCAGCGTCCTCACTTCTACGATCGTCTGTCCCAGGAAGTCGTCTGACTCCTTCTTGAAGTGCTGCTTCACTCGTGACTTGAGGTCATCGTCTTCGTCCCACACTCGGACCTTGATCCGGTCTGTGGAGTTGTGGCACTCGCTGAAAGCACATGCGGATAGGTTAGCCACCCGGCAGCTGAGGGCCTGGAGCCAGCACCTGCTGTGGGTCCACCGACCCGGATGCCAGCCCACCTGCTTCCTGGGGGAGCACCAGCTCCTTCCCGTCGAGGGAGCTTGGAGGTGTCTTGAGCAGCTACAGGAAAAGTAAGGACTGCTTAAATAATGCCAACAAGGAAAAGCCCCATCCCTTTCTGTTCTGCTTCTTTTAACTAAATCAGATGTAGTCAAAGGAGACCACGGACTTTGCTGGGATATTTCCACGTGTCCCACCTTCCCTGAATGAGGCAATGATCTCCGATGATGCATCCGTGCTCAGCAAATTCTCCAGCAGGAGAGAAAGCAGAGTGTTACAGCAGACAGAAAAAGAGGACTTTGGGAGCATAAAATGGCAGTACAGTTAAGTGCAAGTACTCCGTAATAGAAAAACCTGCGTATGCATGCAGATACTATTAAACCAAGAAGATGCAGAGTAAAATCTTTCTGATTTTAAGACGAGACCTGGGTCTCGACCTGCTTTGGTTTCAGCAAACAACTTATTATTGTAATACATACTGCTGTCTCTCCTGACCCCACGGTTTTTGCACATACTCTTCTCTACGCTTCTCTGCTTGGTAACTAATCATCTCTAAGAATCAGCTGCTTCCTTGCTCTGTTCACTCTTCCCATGGCTTTTACCACAGTTGGTCACCACCAGCCCCTTGCTAGAACTTGAGTTTAATGGGTGAGTTTTAGTCAACCCTGAACTTGCTTGATAAAAAAAACAAATGAAATAAACAAATCTCATCTTAACTTTTTTCAACGTTGAATACCGGGAGCAGACAAAACCAGAGACATTTACAGGTAACATTAAAAGTGTTAGGAAGCTTGAAATATTATGTATATCCATCATTGCTCTACAAAAATGATATTTCAGTGTAATTCATTTTCATTCAAGCCTGAATTTTAATCATTAAAAACACTGAATGCTGAAAAGACATCCATGGATTTCACGAGACTAGAGAATGAGTTCATGGAATGAAACCAATGTGAGCACTGAGTGTGTGGGGGCCAGCGGTGTGGCAGGCTAAGGACGAGGCTCGGAGGGAGGTGTGCCACCGTGCATCTCACAGCTCTGCTCTTTTAACTCAGTGCAGGGGTTTCCAGCGTGAGCATCCAGCCATCTCTAGGACATTTCTGTTGTCACTAACAGTGAGGGCAGGACTGGAATTCCAGGGGCCAGGTTGGGGATCTAGACCCCACACCTGTGCAGGGCAGTGTGCAGGAATCAGACGGTCCTGCAGGCATTGATGAAGATCTAACACCCAGAGGTAATTACCTCAGCTCAGGACCTAACTCCACATAGAACTGTCAGTCTTTTACATGGCTTACTAGGCACTGACATTTCTTGGAAACCAAATGTTTCAATACTAATCAAGGAATATTTTTCATTTTTTGGTAGTTATAATTCAGATCTTCACCAAAGAGAAATTCTTTATTTTGAGAAATTAATGACCAATGTCAAAACCACTCAAATATTTGAATCAGAGAAGTTGCATCAGTCTGTGTTTGAAAGAGTCTCATGGCTTCCAGCTCTACCAACAGGAGGAAGTGTGTCCACTGGACCACAGGCTCAAGGGCAGTTGTATGGGAGCCCCACACGCAATACAAAAAATACAGTGACCATAAAAAGGAGCACATGTATTTCAGTAAAAGACACACTGTTGTTAATTCCCCCTCGAGATCCTCCCCTGGCTCTGAGCACACTTATCCCGTCATCCTGGCCACTTTCTGACTGCTTTCTCCCGACTGTCTTTAGCCGCGCTGTCATGGCGGCCTTGATGTCCTGAATTGATCCAAAACATTTCCTTGTTACAGTCATTTTGACTGTGAGGAAGAGCCAGAGTCTCAAGGTGCCAGATCTGGGGACACAGCGCCGTGTCTTTCTGAGCCTGACTTTTCGCTGGATGGCACTCGGCAGCAGCAGCCACTGTATTTTTAATCACATCTTGTAAAGACACCCAGGAAAGAGGACTTGCAGAACTGCTTCAGAAAGTAGTAAAGATGACACTGTGATAAATGTGGTTCAAGTGAGGGACAGTGCTTTGAGGGTGATTAATGGCAATGTTCTGTAATTTTTACTGTAATTTTTTACAACGTTCACGGTACATTTTGATCATACATATTAAAATTGATATTAAGATAATTTTACTTCTCTTTTATATTACTCTTGCAACATTATGTTTATTTTCAAATTTTATACACACACACACACACACACACACATACAGGTGGAGAGATTAAATTATATGCTCTTATGATTTAGCATAGAACATTATGTTTATTTTCAAATTTTATACACACACACACACACACACATACAGGTGGAGAGATTAAATTATATGCTCTTATGATTTAGCATAAAATGATTAAGAATTGTTTTCTGTAAATAAAGGTTCACCAAGTCTGCTACGGTGGAGAATGATTAGCCATTTCTACCTGACCTCACTTCCATGAGAGTCAGTCTCTCTGTTTATAAGATGAATCCTATCTTACACAATATTTACAGGGGATGAATGCTAGCACAGGGCCCGACACACTGCGCTTGATTTGTATGGTCATTATTTTACTATTATCCCAGTTCTTTTTTTCGTAAAGGGGATTGAAATCCGTGACCCTAACATGGTTCACTCAATAAGTATTCCCCCAAAATAAAGTTTTACCAAATTAAAATCCTTATTATTTTATCATTCCTAGAAATATATTCATAAAAACCCCTAATTTTAAGAGCTATTTCTTAGTAAAATTTGGTGGGAATAGAGGGGCAGGGAGAAGATGGGCAGCAGCTGGCATGGCCCATTGCTGACTCAGGAGGGCAATCACCATAGCACATCACTCTCTCTGCTGAGAGCATGGCAATACCAGAGACTACTGAGCCATGGGGATTCAGCTGCCAACATCTTTGGCAACTTGTTCAAAGTTTATGTTAATTATGGCTGAGATTCTAGCTGGGCATTGTGGCACACACTTATAAACTCAATATTCTGGGAGGCCAAAGCAAGAAGATTGAGAGTTTAAGACTAGCCTGGACATCTTAGTGAGTTACAGAGACTCTGTCACAAAATAAAACATTAAAAATGGGCCAGGGATGAAGCTTATTGCAAAAGCACTGGGTTCAATACTCAACACCAAGGGAAAAATGACTAAGCATACAATGTGTTTATATAAAAAACAAAACAAAAGTGTAGGTAGAAAGAGAAACCTGGCTACCACTCTATTTCCTTGAATCTTAGAAAAAAGTTCAAAAGAAATTTTAGAGCAGCAAAAACCAAAACCAAAACCAAAACAAAAAACAAACACAACTTATCATTATCATAATCTTCACAGTCAAATATTACAAAAACAGAACAATATCTACTTTTGTTATCTCTTGATAGATAAACCATTAGTATTCGAATATGTAAGTCCTCAGAGACAGAGCTCAAATACATTTTTTTAAAATATGTAATTAATAGATACAATACACAGCAAGAGCTAGATAATAGGCCCAGGGATTTAGATCAGTGGCACCACACCTGCCTTGTAAGCTCAAGGTCCTGAGTTCGATCCTCAGCACACACACAAAAAAAGAACTAGAAAGTAAAGATGGTAAACACTCCTAGAATCTATTCATTAACAACTACAACAGCAACAAAAATCCTGAATTATTTTGAAGAGGAATTTTTTGAGGGGGTTGTTGTTACAAAAGTCAGAAGTTTTAAATTCCAGTTTTATATATGTGTGTGTGTGTGTGTGTACACAAGTAGTAATCCATATAAAATAGTAACAGTAGATACACATATATGCATATATTATAATACACATTTCTACATGATTCATATACATGTGCACACATACATTTCAGGTATGTGTGTATAGATAAATATATGTCAAAAGCAAGAGGAGGTATGGACAATACTCCCCAAATTTCTATTAGCAATAGCTCTATTTTTGGTTCTAGGTGGAAGTGTTCCTTCCTATGATGTCAAGCTCACATTATCAAGGCTCTTTATTAATGTGGCTTGAAGTCTTTGTTTTTATTATGATGTCCACAGTAAGATGCCCTTCTCCATCCCTGCATCCACTCAGCCAGTTACTAATCCAGCACCAACTCCCTGAGATAAATGCAATCACTATGTACTGCAAATGTGTAGTAATAAAAAGACAGGGGAAATACACCAGGTGCAGCTGAGGCAGAGTGCAATTAGATCATTCCTCTGACCCACAGCATCTCTCTGTTCACATAATGTTGTCAATATAATGTTGACATGTCTTATGATGTGAACTGGTGCAGAATAAACAGAAACAATCAACAAGAAGCCCCTTTAAATATATTTGTAATCAGGCTGAAAAGTTTGAGTCTCTGCATTTCTTGCTGACTGCACTTTTTCATATGCAAATGAGTTTTTAATTTTGGATGAATGTTAGATATGCTGAAAGTCTGCCATCACTGACACTTTCCATATTGGTCCCACTTCTTTCTTCTCTAAATGATAACAGCTCCTATATTCTTTCTTTTCTGCAGAGCTGCTTGTGAGAAATATCAAACAAAGTTTGCCATTGTGATGCAAGTTTCATTGTCAAAAACTGTCTTTCAATTTCCACAGAGTACAGAAAGCAGGGGGCTGTTGCTCTAATTTTAGAATCAAAATACGTCACAGGCCTAGCCACAGCAGTGGACCCAGCTCTGAGCTGTCCACTTCCATGTTGTCCATGGCTTCCTGGGCTCCCCGTCTACTCCAGAGCCAGAATGACAGCCCGATACCTGGATTTGGGGGTGACAACCACCCCAAACTCACAACTGAGTGTGGGATGCAGGGCTGTGTTCTGGAAGCTGCTTGTTTTGCACCTTTGGCAGTGGAGGCTTTCACACTTTCATACAAAATTTCTAGTCTTTACTCCAGAGCAGAAAATATGTTCATGACAGTGTTCTCCACAAAACCACACCATCTAACTGGACACTGT